CTTGTGTATGCTTGGGCCTACTGATGCAGAGAGTGCTGATACACTGGTTGTTTTTATCTGCCTTTGTTCATATGTATGCGATAGGAGAGCTAGGTCATCTGCGAAGTCAAAGTCGTCTAACTGATTCTGAGCTGTCCATTGTATTCCGTGTTTTCCCTCAGATGTCGAGGTTCTCAAAATGCAGTCGACCACCAGGAGAAAGAGGAAGGGAGAGAGTAAACAGCCTTGTCTGACTCCGGTCCTTACTTGGAATGCATCTGTCAGCTGTCCTCCATGCACTACTTTGCACTGTAGTTAGTCGTATGAGTTCCGGATAATATTGACAATCTTCTCAGGAACTCCGTAGCGTCGAATAAGTTTCCATAATGTCCCCCTATCTACACTGTCAAATGCCTTTTCATAATCAATGAAGTTGATGAACAGTGACGAGTTCGATTATGATCCGTAGTGTCGCAATTTGGTCTGTGCACGACCGATCCTTAAGGAATCCAGCCTGTTGCTCTCGACATTGGGTGTCTACTTCGTCATTCATCCGGTTCAGCAACACTGTTGAAAACTTTCCCTGGTATTGACAGTAGTGTAATGCCTCTGTAGTTTTCACATTTGCTCAGATCTCCTTTCTTTGGAATCTTGATGAGGTGTCCTTCTTTCCAGTCCATCGGCACCTGTTCCTTTTCCCAAATCTTTTTGAATAGAAGGTAAAGCATGTTTGTAGTTACTTCGATGTCTGACTTCAGTGCTTCAGCTGGTAAATTATCGGGTCCTGTTACTTTTCCGCTCTTGATTTGTCTGATGGCCATCTATAGGAAGATCTGTGTGCTGCTTCGATGTCCGGTTGATTCGTTGTAGCCGGCCTACTCAGGCGCTCCTCGAAGTATTCTGCTCATCTGTTCCGCTGTTGTTGAATTTCAGTGATTGGCTTGCCTTCTTTGTCTTTGACCGGTCTCTCTGGTTTACTGTATTTCCCTGCTAGTTTCTTCGTTGTATCGTAAAGTTGTTTCATATTTCCTTCTGTTGCAGCTTTTTCTGCCGTCGTTGCTAGTTCTTCCACGTATTTCTTCCTGTCGGCTCTAATGCTCTTCTTCACTTGCTTGTTTGCTTCTATGTACTCAGCTTGTGCTTGAACTTTCTCTGCTCGTGTTCGGCTGTTGTTAATTGCAGCCTTCTTGTTCTTCCTTTCTTTGATCTTGTCCAGAGTTTCTATAGAGATCCACACCTTATGATGGTGCTTCTTTAGGCCCAGAACCTCCTGACACGTTGAAGTTAATGCTTCCTTGACGCCTTTCCAGTTGTCCTCCATAGTAGTTTCTTCTTCTTTCAGTAGATCCTGTAAGGCTTGAAACCCTTTGTTGTGAGTTATCTTGAATTCACTGAGTTTATCAGTATCTCGAAGGAAGGCTGTATTGAACCTTTGTAATGCTGTTTGTCCAGTTGTCCAGTTCTTCTTTAGCTTCAGTTTTAAATTGGCCACAACTAGGTGGTGATCTGAGGCTATGTCAGCACCTCTCCTGGTTCTCACATCTTCCATTGCCCTTCGGAATTTTTTATTGACGCAAATATGATCTATCTGGTTCTCTGTAGTGTGGTCCGTTGAGATCCATGTAGCTTTGTGTATACGCTTGTGTGGAAATATTTTGCCTCCTATGACCAATTTGTTGAATGCACACACATTTGCAAATCTTTCCCCATTTTATTTTCCCTCTCCCAGTCCATGTCGTCCCATGATATCTTCATATCTGACGTTGTCTATTCCGACTTTGGCGTTTAGATCTCCCATCAGAATGGTGAGGTCCTTTCTTGAGCACTTGTCTATAATTGATTGCAGCCTCTCATAGAATTGATTTTTAATCTCGTCGTTTCTATCATTGGTGGGTGCATAGCACTAGATAACATTCACTGTAATTCCCTCCTTCTTTGTCTTGAATGATGCTTTGATGATTCTGGATCCGTGAGATTCCCATCTTACAAGTTCACTTCGTGCTACTTTGGACAGCATCAAAGAAATTCCCTGAGTGTGTTCAAGTATACCCTGCTTAATATGTACTGATATTTGTCGATTCACTGTGCATCGTCTTCATTGCTTTGTGAAGCTTTTCCGCCACTAAAAAAGTTTTGTCTATCACCCAGTTTAGACATACTTAAACTAAGGCACATCACTGAATCATTCACTGTGCCATGTTTGATGGCACTACTACGTATTTTCAAATTTAAACTGTTAGTACCAAACAAAGTTCTCAACTGGTTTCGCTAAGCCGAATGAAAGATTCGGTAGATGATGAACTTAAACGTCAAGCTGTCTGTCTTAATAATTGATCATGTACTGACCAAATTTTGACATTGCAAACTATTGTTGAACAATCATTGACTGAATGGAACTCATAACTATACATCATCTATTTTGACTATGAGAAGGCATCCTACAGTGTGAATAGGAATACATTGCGAAATCTTCTTCGGAACTTGTGAGTACAGGAAGAGATTTTCACTATCACATAGAACTCATACGACGGGCCAACAGACGAATTCCAAATGAGGACTAACATCAGACAAATCCCTCCTTTTCCCATTCTGTCAGCCGCCGACTGGGTTACGATGACCTCCATATCTCAGGAAAAACATAGGACGCAGAGGACACAGTTGGACTGTTTGACTCTTCACTCCATACACAGTAATAAATGCAGACAAAGGCTGAGAGGGTGGCAATGGCTTCCACAGCAGTAATTTTCAACACTCATAAAAGAAATAGCAGGAACTTGAGGAATAACAAGGTGATCAACAACGAAGTCACACTTGAAGGCGAAGCCCTGGGACAGATGGGGATTCTTACGTGCCTGTGCAGCATCATTGATAAACAAGGAGGGGTCTGATGTAGACGTGAAGACATGGACTGGCTAACGGAATATGTGGTTCCTAGATCTGCAAAATATCTGGGTCTCAAAATAGCTGTCAGCCAAGACTATAGTCAGAGTTTCTAAAATCAACGTTAAGACAGTCGTAGTTTTCAGAGCTAAACATTTGAGAACTATCTCCACCTATATCAGAATAATACAGGCATTTACAAACAACGGTCTACATAAGATACTGCAGACCGGTTAGCCATAACTTACAGGAAGAAACCAACGTTTAGTAGAGAATGAAATTAGGAAACCTTGGGAGGTAGATAAGACACAGGATAAACCATCAAGGTATATCACAAGGAAAGCGCTAAAAATGGAATCTCAAAGTAAAAGTAAAAGCGACAAATAAAAGAACATATGTTGGTAGGAATAGCGAAATTAAAAGAAGGAACTGCAAATACTTACTTACTTACGCCTGTTACTCCACGTGAAGGAGCATAGGCCGCTCAACAGAACGGCAAATACTAGTGACTGAAAAAGCGTACTCGGGACAGAATTAATAGGAGATTCTTGCTAGACAGTCCATATCTCACGAGTGATAAAAGGCTTATTTAAACCAATCAACAGATCAAACTCAAATTGGATTGTTTTCGTTAGGTCGACTATCGTTAATGTATCATTCAAATCTACCTGTTATCGTACTATTTAAAAATAGTGTACTATACGTTGAATACTGGCTGTTAACATACCATCCACGATAAGCGATTCGGATTCTAGATGGCAACCACAGTACAACTTCTGGTTGGGAAGATTACATGTTGTCCAATATACAGTGTAGTCGACGATTCAATATGAAATATAAAGTTAACTGGGATGCATTTGGTTATGAGTATGTGAACATGCTAGCGTCTACGCCAAACTTCTGCTCTGATAGACGGCGCTAGCTAAGTTATATCAATTTGTACATCATGATCAGCTCACTTTAAGAACTTCCATACGAAATAGACGATAGATTCCACTTACACAACTAACTGGTCAAGTCGGGCTTCTTTGAACCTCCTCGAACAGCTTATTTTTCAGGCAGATGTTGATTACTGTTGTGGACATTGTTCACAAGAATATTTGCAAGTGATGTGTAGCAGAATATGGCATCAAAGTTGCAATAGTTGTTGGACAGAGTGAAAAGTTTCAGCGCATCGAAAGCACTGAGCCGCTAGAACACTTGAAGGCCAGTTGAAAAGACAGTTCGGATAGCAGAATAAACCGAAAGATGTAAATGGGTAATTGACGACTATGTATATGTACTATTTAAATAATTTGTAATTTCTTATATAGAGCCCTTACGGTTAACATCTTGTAGAACGGTATATATATAGTCACTTGACGTCACTCTTTATGCATTCACTCAAGCCAAGTACCTAATATGAAGACATGATTTACTGTAATATGTTTTTGGTTGTCTAGCAGCCCTACATGAACTAAATAAACAAAGAAACATACATTTAAGGGTATGATGAAGAAGAGTGATAGCTTTTTCAGTCACTTGGGATGCACTTCTTTTGATCCCTTTCATATATTATTACCACTGGTGTACGTTACATACAGATTGCCTTCAACCACCAGACAACACAACATAGTTTACGAGATATCTTATCACTTGGACCTTTGGTCTTATTTAAATTTGATTGACATTGAAAACTAGATAAACGTGAGGATGGCTATTACTCTATGATCAATCAGTTTCATCAATTCCCTTCCAACAGTAATCACAAAAATGGAAAAAAATTCTTTTATCTTTTATAAAATGAACGGATGTATAGGGAGAATGATAATGATCGGTTGTCTACTTAGTCAGACATGTAGATAGTCTGACAGATGTGTCAGATGAGTTATATATTCCCCTATCCTTATCATTATTATTACTCACTTATTATTGATTGTTCATTGTTGTTGTATTGTGTCGGGTTTTGGTGGTGTGGAAATATATTTTCATTCTAGTCAGGCTAATCACGAGTTCTTGATCTGAGTTGTGTTGACGTCCTGTGGAGTAGAAACTGAGAGAGAATCTAGTTTAGATATTCGTTTAAGAAAAATTAACGTCCCATACGTGTCAACGTGGAAACCCAACCGTTACAACATTAGACGAAGTAAAACACCAGCGTTTTAACATGAACATAATAAATTATATTAGTTTGCAATATATATATGACCGATAACATTAATTATTATTATCAAAATGACCCATACATCACATCATGTAGTACCAGAAGTGCTGTCCCGAACTACGTGATTACGATAAATTTTCCATTCCCGATAAGTATTCAATTTTGATTCCAACTCTTCAACACTAGGAAACGGTTGAACCTGTTTAAATGTCAAAAATACATTCAGAAGGAGTTTTTTGGAGATTTTAGTATATTTATAGTTGAGATCATGAGTCAGTTGAAGCTATACCACCATGGAAAACCTAGAAGCACTGGACCGTCGTTTCGTTTTGTTGTGGGACTCCTCAGCAGTGCGCATCCACGATCCCATCCTGCGAGACTTAGACCTAGGACCTATCAGTCTCGCGCGCGAACGCTTAACCTCTAGACCACTGAGCCGGCTCATGAATTCAACTACAAAAACATATTCCTTTTAAAAATTACAATTTATGATAATTATTTGAAGAAAAAATTTAAACAAACCCATTTAATTAGTCATACTACAGTTTGAAGACAAGTTTTATTGTGAATTAAGATTACTAATAAGGGATGATTCTCACTGTTGTTGCCACAAGTACTTGTGGTTTGACAACACTTTAACCAGTAACACCTATGACTGAATCGTGCCAACCCTGTGAAACCAAAAGTCAGAAGCGAGGAGATTCGACGATATATTTGATAGGTTATCAATATATCGAGAAATGACTGATCTAAACTGGCTAGCGGTTGCAGGAGAAGTTGAGCAATGCGTTCTCACTCGTGATCTGATCCGCATGCGTGACCGGGCGCCTTCAGTTAGGTGAGTCTACTAAAACCAATGTGATCAGCATCAAATGTTGAAGACTTACAGAGCTATTGATTTTGGGGATTTATTTACCGCTACATCATTATATACTACAAACCTCTAACAAATACAGGTGCAGTGAACGAGAACACAAGTGGGGACAATCGAATATATTTGAACACACAAATTCCGAGAACCGTACAGCAAATACTTCATTTACAAAATATCCACCAATTATCTCAGACTTCACTGTTCGTTCGTTTCTACACCAATAATTATCTGTTCTCATTCAATTTTCATCGAACTACTTAACCTTCTACTGCCAAGTATTTCACTTTCGATTGATGATAATACTACTTATGTCTGTCTACATCGGTAGCGCACACCACATCACGTCCAATATGTTGGCATGGGTTCGAATCCCACCCCTGACACTACACAGCCCCTAAATGCACTGGTATGGCCGAGAGTGAGGAAAGTCAGCTATCCTTCTCCAAATGCTTTCACGAGGCCACTTGCATACAACCACTGACAGGGAAGTTTTACTCATTACCTTCTCGCGGCAGAGCTGTTGTTTACGAAAATGAGAGGAAGAAAAGCAAATGCACGGCGCTCTAACCGGGTTGGTGGATACGGGGAATCCGCCTAGGGGAGTTGTAAAACCCTGATTCCAGACCAGTGTTGCACAAGGGCTCCAGTATCCTGAAGGAACAATTACATATGAACCAATCGTTGGTCACCGGCTACCACGGGACTGCATCTCCATACGTTGTTCCTCTGCCTTGTGGATTAAACCTTCAGGTCAAAGGCTCCGGGTTTGGCCCCCTATGAAAACCATCTGCTTCGTTTGGGCATCCGGGCAGTTTTCCAGCTCTCACACTAATCGAATGATATATGTGGCGCCTATCTATTTGGTGCCTTGTTGTAACCAATGTTTATGTGTTTACATAAATAAATGAATAACTGTACCCACTGAAAACACCAACAACATAATTTATTACTTACTTTAGATCGTAACCAATTTAAAAATTTGTTGGACAATGTTCAATAAAGAATTTTTTATTAATTGCAACACATTCTGCTCCATCGGATACTAATGAAACGGATGTTGTACCACCGAACGGTTCAAATGCAATAGATTCTAGACCCTAATTAATGAATGATAAAATGAAATTTACGGAAAAACTTATGTTATATATTAGGGAGATACATTTTGGTCGGTATAAGGTTGTGGAGATTATGAAGTTTTTGATTGAGACGGTCGTCCAGTACTTCAGGTTTTCAATGGTAATCTAACATCAATAGGTTCATGATCTCAATCTGATACATTTTGGACAGCCTGTTCACACACTTACTTCTTATGATATTTGTATAAAAAGAATAAAGATCAGACTAAACAATTTATAAGATAAAGGAAAAATAGAGATAATTAGGAAAGAGTAGGAGCATACAATAGCTGGTACTATTGCAGTGAACGAGAACACATGTTGGGACAATCAAATGTATTCGAATACAAAATTACAGAACATCTTAGTGAAATCTGAGAACCATACAGTAATACTTCATTTGCAAAATGTCAATCCATCGTCTCAGACTTGATCATTCCTTCGTTGCCACATCAATCATTCTCTGTTCTCGTTCTCTTCTCTTAGATCTTTTTAACCTTCTGCTGCCAGACATTTCACTTTCGATTGATGATACATACTACTTATATCTGTCGACATTAGTAACACAAACAACACTATGACATCACACTTACATGGGTTGTTCTAGCTTTTTGATGGATCAATTGGTTTATTTTTCTTGTGTCACTATCATCCCTTGTCAATTATTCGGTTATAAAATCAATTATTTTTATTTGAGTGTGTGTGTGTGTGTATTGCTTACCCTATTTGTCACATGTCATCAGCTTATTTATGTATGGGTATAAATATTGAGTCACACTTCATCGAATGGGATTGATATCCTTGTTTTCTCTTTTCAGTGCATTTGAATTTTCCGCTTCTCATCTTTGCAGGTACAGCTTGCTGACAAATGCCAAGTAACATGAAACCTACATCCAGATTTTCCTGTTGACTACCTCAAACCACTATCTTATCTCAACATAGTGCACACAATATCGAATCACCTAGACTAGTGACCACATTGGAACTTGGTCGATAGGATTCGACCTAATATACATGATATTGATCATTCATCAGCCAATGATTAATCAATTGAAAAACATGAACTTACAAATACACTATTTGGTTCCAATATTTTCAATTCTATGAATATTTTAACATTTTTATTATCTAATTTCTTAGCTGAATTTTGAGTATTCAACTAAGAGAAAAGGGATGAAAGTAAGAAAGAAAGAAAAAGAATGATCAAGATATTATTAATATAAAGTAATTCAGTTATTAATATTAGTATTCTTCAAATTTCACAGATTGAAATCATGAGTCAATTGAAGCTAGACCACCATGGAAAATCTGGAAGCACTGGACAGCCGTTTCGTCCTAGCATGGGACTCTTCAGCAGTGCGCATCCACGATCCCGCACCCCACGAGCTTCGAACCCAGGACCTATCAGTCTTGCACTTAACTAGCTAGACCACTAAGCCGGCATCCAACGGTCCTGAATTCGAATATCGCGGAGTGAAATGGTGGATTTGCACTGCTGAGCAGTTCCACAATAGGATGAAACGGCCGTACAGTGCTTCCATTCTTTCCATGGTGGTCTAGCTTCAACTGACTCATGATTTCAATCTGTGAAATTTCTAAAATCTCCACAAAACCCCTTCTGATAATATTCTTCAAATGTCAAACTCTTATTGTTTTAGCAATTCAAATCGTATAATAAAACACAATGTAAAGTGAATATACTGCTGAGATGATGGAGAAGATTTTGTTCTCTGAGCTGGATGGTTGTTTTGGTGGATAAATGTAAAACCAAAAAATCAAACCAATAGGGGATGTAACCAAAATAATGAAGTAAACAATGATAGATTAAAGGTTAACAATAACCAATCAATATCAAGGTCTAAAGGAAAAGCTGTGAAACCATTTGTGTGGAGAAATTTGAATATTTTACTTCTACCTGAAAATTTGTACTGATGATACCGTTCAGATGAACAATGAAATTTCTATGATCAAACCAACCAAATCAGAGAATAAAACTCCATCAAAATGAATATGCTTGATTAGCAAAAAAGAAACCGAACATCAATGTTAAATGTAAATGTTCACCGATATTAGTTACTGAGAGGATGTTTACATTGATCATACTTCGTAGAAAAATAGTGAAAATTTCATTATTCAATAATCCAACTGAAAGAATACAATATCTAGAGAACTGGCTAAACCTTATCAATCTATGGATTTCTTGAACGAATACCTTCATTTCAACTTACTTTCATATATATATGGATTGTGTTTTGGAAAAATTGAGGTGGCATTTTGACTCAAGTTGTGTACTTCCTCGTTTCTATCTCAAATATTCACAACCGAGCTGCCTTAACATTTATGATAATATTACATATAATTATAAAATAAAGTAATGAAGTGGATATACCAGTAGTTGAGATCATGAGTCAATTGAAGCTAAACCACTATGAAAACCTGGAAGCACTGGATGGCCGTTTCGTCCTAGTATAAGACTCCTCAGCAGTGCTCATCCACGATCCCACCTCGAGAGATTCGAACCCAAGATCTATCGGTTTGGCGCGCAAACGCTTAACCTCTAGACCACTGAGCCGGCGTCTGTTACGACTAGGATATATGTTCGTAAATTTGTAGCGTATCTGTCTCTCATTGTCTAATCTGTGTGCTATATCAAGCATTTTCTAGTAATTTTCCATTCATTTAGTGAGTATTATGTATAAAAACATGATTTTTATTGAGGATATCATTTTAACCCATAGTATTTCGTATTATTTGCTGTTTTTATCAGACAAATTGAGATGTCTTACAGTGAGCTCTTCATAGAGGAGATAAGTTGATAACAATTGATAACTATCAGTTAAATAGAAAATTGCTTGAAAATGCTAGACATTAGACTTTTTCGAACATTAAAAAAAGGAGCAGTTATCTTCACTCATAAAGTAACTAGTAGTATAGTAGACATTCAATTAAATGTATGAAAATTGATTTATGTATATTGAATCAGTAAAATGTGGTTCGTTAGATTATTCTCTCATTATAAGATAATACAGATATATTCATTATACATGAGTTTTGAAATCAGATGGCGGTTGGAGGTAGTCGACAGGAAACCCTGGATCCGGGTTTCGTGCTATTCGGTACTCGTCAGCAAGGTGTACCTTTAATCTTGAGGGAATTGGTGCTCCCTGACGGATTCAATCCGGTGTCACCCAGCTTCACAGCCAGAGATGTTACCACTGAGCCATCTGGGCCGTGACCGACGTGACACCCATAACACTAATCACCACCCAGTGATCAATCAACTGTGATAGGTCTTGAAATCGTAAGTTTTCATTTACAATTAACGAAATTACAAACTTTAAATAGATAGAATGCATCAAGAACTATGCTTTGTAGTGATGATGAGTTCCATCATGGATAAACAGTAATTGGAGAACTATTGATAAACAAACGACAACTGAGAGCTTGTTATGGTAGCTACTAGTAAATTGTGACTTCTTGGAATAGACCATATAACTCAATCGTCCGTAAATATTCCTTAAACCCAGTCGTATGACACCAGTAATAACTAAGGTTGACATGATAAAAGATTATTCAGGTCAGATGATTTGAAGGAAGCACAATGAATGGTTAAATTTGAATCAACTGCACGAGAGTTCAACGGTCAATGGAAAATTTTTATATAGAATATTATGAATTATTTGTGATATGTATAAACGAACTGACATTTACAACTTTTGTTTGGAATTTCAAAGATCAATTCGAAATTACATACAATGGAGCTACTACAAGCTATTTGATAGAGTTTTGTTCTTTGAGCTAGATCGTTTGGTCGTGGAGCTTTCATCGTTCTTCTGAATGACATCATCAGCACAAACTTCAGTTAGAAGCTATTTTGTTCCAGTTGTAGATCATTCTTTAGAGAACACTTATAATCTAATATAAGGTGTAAAGTGTGAATTACGTATGGAACTGCTCCGTCTAATTTTATTCTTCATTTTCTTAATAAAATGTTATAAAGATTCAAAATGTTTCATATCGTTAGTTTTTCTATGAATTTTCTTTAGTTTATGAACTACATGTTCCTAAGCTTAGTACTACTAGAATGTCATGAAAATTTCATTTAAAACGTCAAACTATTTACAAGTAGTATAAATATTTTTTTGAAAAAATTCAAGGATGCAAACACAACCTATTCATAAGAATGAAGTTGATTACATAAATAATTATATAAAGATCAAGTTAGACAAATAGAAATCTTTATAGCCAGAGATACAAACCAGTACCGGAAACCCATATTCTTTTCACTTAAAAGTTTGTCAAAATAATGCGTAAGTAAATATAGTACTATAGTAACAATATGAATCATGGAGCTAAATTATACCGACATGTCTATATTATTTTTTTAAGGGTTTTAAGACAGCGCTCGAGATGGATGTGAGACGTAATGATCGAAAGACAAGAATAGAATATTGTCATAAAAGATGGAATGAGAACTAGACAATCACAAACCACAAGTTTTGAAATGTTCAGGAATCAACCGATGGTTAGAGACCGTGAATGACATGGCTCAAAGTCGTTTGCAATGACGCTGGTGCATCCATTCTTTGTGTTCTCCCAAATTCTAATCTTCTGTATTATTTGTGTCCCCTTTCTCTTTTTCTTTCCAAATTTATTTCATTGGATTGTACTCCTTGAATAACATCTTCAAACCCTAATCTTTGCGATTACTGCTTATACTTTTACTATCTCTACCACTAAGGGATTTCAATAGATAACTGCATCTCTGTGCTAATGTAATGTAGTATGGCAACTTGAACTGATGTACGTACGTACGAAGTTCTACGTTGTTACTGACTGACTCACTCAGGAATCAATAATTGCATCAAAAGAACAGTCGCCGAGAATTTACCTCTTTGAAGGAAGTCAACAACAGTAAAGTTTTAAGAGGAGCTACAAGTCAGCGGAACGTGGTCAAATTAGGTGGGTAAATTATCGATTCAGTTATCGTTCAAAACAAACAACTTACTGGCTGGCTTACTCAGAGAAGACTAAATGATGGAAGCAGGAAGATATTATCTTACAAATGAAAAAATATGTATATTCGAACATCTTAGTAGAAGTACATGAAGAAGGAGTTGATTGTTTTCACTTTTATTTACTCCAATTTACTGGAATGATTTGCCATCTTCCACAAACAACACATCATTACCATTACAACAAAGAAATAGAACAGCAAAATTATTTAATATCAATCAAACTACTCAAAATTAATAAGTAGTAGACATATTCATACAAAAAAGCGAAGCTAAGAGAAATGAATTCTGAAACGGAAAGGATTTAATAAAGTTTAGCGTAATTGGAATTGTGGCTTGCAACGAAACCACTGACAGTTATTCACACATAATTAGTGACCACCAGCTAGATATAATCCATACCTAATATTATTGACGTTCATTACTTACTTACTTACTTACGCCTGTTACTCCCAATGGAGCATAGGCCGCTGACCAGCATTCTCCAACCCACTCTGTCCTGGGCCTTCTTTTCTAGTTCCATCCAATTCTTGTTCATTTTTCTCATGTCTATCTCCATTTCTCGGCGTAATGTGTTCTTTGGTCTTCCTCTTTTCCTTTGACCTTCAGGATTCCATGTGAGGGCTTGTCTTGTGACGCAGTTGGGTGCTTTCCTCAATGTGTGTCCTATCCACTTCCAGCGCTTCTTCCTGATTTCTTCCTCTACTGGGATCTGGTTTGTTCTCTCCCACAGTACGTTGTTGCTAATAGTGTCCGGCCAATGGATCTGAAGTATTTTGCGTAGACAACTGTTAATAAACACCTGTATCTTCTGGATGATTGCTTTCGTAGTTCTCCAGGTTTCCGCCCCATACAGTAGAACTGTCTTGACACTTGTATTGAAAATCCTGACCTTGGTGTTGGTTGACCGTTGCTTTGAGTTCCAGATGTTCCTCAGTTGTAAATATGCTGCTCTTGTTCTGCCGATCCGCACCTTCACATCTGCATCAGATCCACCCTGTTCATCAATGATGCTGCCCAAATATGTAAAAGTTTTAACATCTTCCAAATCTTCTCCGTCAATTGTGATTGGATTGGTGCATGTTGTGTTGTATTGGAGAATCCTGTTTTTCCCTTTGTGTATATTGAGACCTACTATTGCTGAGGCTGCTGCCACACTGTTCGTCTTCTCCTGCATTTGTTGTTGCGTTTGGGATAGAATGACCAGATCATCTGCGAAGTCTAGGTCGTCCAACTGCATCTTGGATGTCCACTGTATCCCGCACTTCCCTTCAGACGTTGACGTACTCATGATCCAGTCGATCATCAGAAGAAAGAGAAAGGGTGAGAGTAAGCAACCTTGCCTAACACCGGTCGTCGCTTCGAACGACTATGTCAACTGTCCTCCATGCCCAATTTTGCAGTGTAATCCATCATATGAGTTCCGTATGATATTGACTATCTTCTGAGGCACGCCGTAGTGTCGAGGAAGTTTCCATAGTGTTGCTCTGTCCACGCTATCAAATGCCTTTTCGTAGTCAATGAAAATGATGTAGAGTGATGAATTCCGTTCAATTGATTGTTCCACAATGATCCGTAGAGTTGCGATTTGATTCGTACACGATCGATCCTTACGGAATCCTGCTTGTTGGTCTCGAAGTTGGGCGTCTACGCAATCCTTCATCCTGTTTAACAATATCCTGTTGAAGACTTTTCCCGGTATTGAGAGAAGAGTGATGCCCCTGTAGTTATCACACTTGCTGAGATCGCCTTTCTTCGGTATTTTGATCAGAAGTCCTTCTTTCCAGTCTGTTGGTACTTGTTCCTCATCCCAAATCTTATTGAAGAGAATGTGGAGTATCCTTGCAGTTGCCGCTACGTCTGCTTTTAGTGCCTCTGCTGGGATGTTGTCAGGTCCTGCTGCTTTGCCACTCTTGATTTGTCTGATGGCCATGCTGATTTCTTCAATTGTTGGTGGGCCAACATTGATTGGGAGGTCCGTGGGTGCTGCTTCGATGTTGGGTGGGTTCAGTGGAGCTGGTCGATTCAAGAGTCCCTTGAAGTGTTCTACCCACCTGTTTTGTTGCTCTTCAATGTTGGTGATTACCTTGCCTTCCTTGCTTTTCACTGGTCGTTCTGGTTTGCGGCGATTTCCAGAGAGTTTCTTTGTCGTGTCATACAATTGTCTCATGTTTCCTTCTCTTGCAGCCTTTTCCGCCGTCGTTGCTAAATCTTCCACATATTTACGTTTGTCGGTTCTGATGCTCCTCTTCACTTGTTTGTTTATTTCCGTGTATTCAGCTTGTGCCTTGGCTTTTTCTGCTCTTGTTCGGCTGGTATTGATTGCTGCCTTCTTGTTCCTTCTTTCTTGAATCTTATCCAGTGTATCAACAGTGATCCATTCCTTGTGGTGGTGCTTCTTGTGACCCAGGACCTCATGACATGTTGAAGTGATTGCCTCTTTGATCCCCTTCCAGTTGCTCTCCACAGTAGTTCCTTCTCCATTGAGTAGATCATGAAAGGCCTGGAACTTGTTGCTGAGGACTATCTTGAATTTGTTGAGTTTGTTAGTATCCTGAAGAAAGGCCGTATTGAACTTTTGTGATACTGTCTGCCCCGTTGTCCAGTGCTTCTTGAGTTTCAATTTCATCTTGGCGACCAGCAAGTGATGATCTGATGCTATATCAGCTCCTCTCTTGGTTCTCACGTCCTCTATAGTCCTCCTGAACGTTTTGTTGATGCAAATATGGTCGATTTGGTTTTGTGTAGAGTGATCCGGTGAAGTCCATGTGGTTTTGTGTATGCGTTTATGTGGGAATATGGTGCCGCCTATGACCAGCTTATTGAAGGCACATAGATTTGCAAATCTCTCACCATTTTCGTTCCTTTCTCCCAGTCCGTGTCGTCCCATGATGTCTTCATATCCAGTGTTGTCCGTTCCAACCTTGGCGTTGAAATCTCCCATCAGAATGGTCAGGTCCTTTGTTGGGCACTTCTCGACGATTGACTGCAGCCTATTGTAGAATTGATCTTTAGCGTCTTCATTGTAGTCGTTGGTAGGCGCATAGCATTGGATGATGTTCATTGAAATGCCCTCTTTCTTTGTTTTGAACGAGGCTTTGATGATCCTTGGTCCATGAGATTCCCATCCTATAAGTGCATTTTGCGCTTGTTTGGACAGCATCAATGCAACTCCTTGTGTATGTGGTGCATTTTCTTCTTCATGGCCGGAGTATAACAGGAGCTCTCCTGTAGTTAGTCGTTGTTGTCCAACTTGTGTCCAATGTGTTTCACTGATCCCAAGTACCTCTAGGTTGTATCTTCTCATTTCTGCAGCAATTTGGAAGGCTCTTCCGGTGTCCCACATTGTACGAACATTCCATGTACCTAAATAAATGGTTGCTCTGGTTGTCAGAAGGGGCATCGGCCTCGTAACTTCCGAAGGAATTCGGCTTTCATCATGAGGCGTCATAATTCTTCTAAATGAAGACCTTCTGACTCCCAGGGCAGAGTTTAAAAGGTTTGAATAATTTTTTCTGGTTAGCGTTTTTTTAGCGAGTTAGTTTTCTACGGGATGGGGACGCTAACCCCATGCCCAACCCTCCTCCTTTATCCGGGCTTGGGACCGGCAGTAGCCCCCGGAGGGACTCCAGGCGGAGTTATTGACGTTCATAGTAAGATTTAATTCTAAACGCTCCCAAATGCCCTGGTATGGCCGAGAGTGGAGTGGGCCCACCCTCCCTCTCAAAATGTTCTCACACGGCCACGAGTATACAGCCTCTGATAGGGAATCCCCGCTCAGTGCTTTCTCGTGGCATTACTGTTGTTTACGAAATTGAAGGGACGAAGAGCGAATGTCCCGCGCTCTAACCGGATTCCAAACCAAATCAATGATGCACATGGGCTCCAGTATCCTTCGGGACAAATGGCGTATGAACCAATTTTTGGTCACCGGCTTCCATGGGACTGCATCTCCTCATGATGCTCCACTGCCTTGTCGATCAGACCTTGAGGTCGAAGGCTCGGGGAGTGGCCCCCTAAGAATACCACCTGCTTCGGTCTGAGCACCCGGGCAGTATCACAGCCTTCACACAAATCGAATGATTTATGTAACGCTTATCTGTTTGGTGCCTCTTTGTACCAATGTTTATGTGTTTAAATAAAAAACAAATAGAATAAATTCTAAACAAAGACGTTTTAGAAATCTAATCTTACTAATCTAGAAGGGGATAATACATGAATTCAGGAATACATTTAACTGAGTTAAGTTTTTCTTATAGCTAACTTACTTTTGATTTCTCATGGTGTTTGGACGAATCAAAATAATACTGGAATTCAGTTTTAGGTCTATGCGTTTTAACTGTTGACTTTAAATGTTTCGGTTTTAATTCAACATCTTTAAGAATTCTACATTGTCCTGTTTTAATAATATAAATCCAATTACTTTGATTACTATCAATACAGATGGTTACATTACGTCTGTAAATGAAGCAACAATTAAGTGAAGTACATGGATATACAATTAAACAACAATAAACTAAAGTAAAATATAGATAGGTGACTTATGAGACTTCACAGATGACCTGGTTATTCTATCGCACACGCAACAACAAATTCAGGAGAAGACGACCAGTGTAGCAGCAGCCTCAGCAGCAGTAGGTCTCAATATACACAAAGGGAAAAGCAAGGTTCTCCGATACAACACAGCATGCAACAATCAAATCACAATTGACGGAGAAGATTTGGAGGATGTGGAAACCTTTACATATTTGGGCAGCATCATTGATGAGCACGGTTACTTATGGTCTATAAGTTCGGCCGGACACTATTAGCAACAACCAACTGTGGGAAAGAACAAACCAGATCCAAATGGAGGAAGAAATCAGAAAGAAGCGCTGGAAATGGATAGGACACACATTGAGGAAAGCACCCAACTGTGTCATAAGGCAAGCCCTCACATGGAATCCTCAAGGCCAAAGGAAAAGTGGAATACCAAAGAACGCATGACTTCGAGAAATGGAGACAGACATGAGAAGAATGAACAAAAATTGGACAGAACTAGAAAGGAGGGCCAAGGACAGAGTAGAATGGAGAACTCTGGTCAGTGACCTAAGCTTCATTGGGTAAGTAAGTAAGCTATGGTAACCAGATATTTACGAGATGAAATGTTTTCCATTCCACAAAAACTTTGAACCCAATTTAATCAATTTGTTCAGAATTAAATCTCATTCTGTTGCCTAAAAAAGCGGTTATTACAATTCCATCAAACTGTTTTGTCGCCAAATGACTCATGGACCTTGTGCAGACTACTGTGATGATATTGTCTTTCGATGCAATATATGTTGGTGGAAGAAATCTACTAGAAGAGGAATTTTTTCCTCCCGATGCAGATTGAGACTAAGGAAAATTATGATAATTGTTGCGAACTGGATAGTCAAATGCACACTGGCTGTAACATTTACAGATGTTACTGAAGCTTCGGTTCTTCAGTGGTATAAGTATTATAGAGATATATGCGCAGCAAAAATGACACGAGTTGTTTGAGGGAGTCAGGGGAATCGTTGAAACAGACGAAACAGTAGTCAGAAAACGTGAATTCAACAGAGGATGTAGTGTTAAAGAAGACTGGGCAAGTAGCACTCATGTAAAAATACCTCACAGGTCCTTCGAATATACGACACTTTCAACGGGTTAGAAACCGACAGGCTACAACGATAATGCCAGTTATACGGGAATATATGCAACCGGGTACTACAATATATACAGATAATTAGAGAGTGTACATATACCTACATAGACTAGGTTATGTGCATCGTGTCGTTATCCATAAGTGGCATTTTGTGGACCTAACAACTGGAATGTACACGAACAATATCTAAGCTATATGGTGGAGGGCGAAAGAGTTTTTACTACCTTATCATAACTCCAGAAGCCGACTATTATGGAGCTATAAGGATGAGTTCCTCTATCATATACATTAAGATTTTAGAAACTTTAAACCTCTTTCTAACCTTGATAAATTTTTGATGAGACTATAATTTATGGACGACCTTTGAACGACTCTGAAGTGACCATGAGAGTGAACAACTACTAATTAGGACTAAATGAGGGTTATAAAGCAGTTAGAATGCCCATTTACAATTGATAGTTAGAGTTAAAAATTAGATTTAGGGTTTTCATCACGAACTGACATCAGCTATAATGCCAAAACTCTATCTAGCCAAATGAATGAGTGAATTCCGTGCCCAAATTCGTGACTCGTTATCTTATATCTGATTGATTCATCCATAAATTATAGCCTAGCCACCAACTGTTTTCTGATTGACGAGTATCTCTCAAGGTCATCCAAGCGTCGTCCAAAGGTCATCCATACATTATAGTGGTACCGTAAATTCAAATAAATTCGAAAAAACAATCAAACTTTTTCAATAGTTGGAATCATGAGTCAATTGAAGCTAGACCACCATGGAAAACCTTGGAGCACTGGACAGCTGTTCCATCGTAATGTGGACTTCTTAACAGTGTACATCTACGATCCCTTCCCCCACGAGATTCGAACCCATGGCCTATCTATTTCACACATGAGCGCTTAACCATTAGATCACTGTTGGTCTAACTTCAATTGACTTATGATTTCAACTATTGAACTTACTAAACATTTTCACAAAACCCCCCTTCTGACAATAATCAACTTACCTAAAAAATGTAAATAATAAAATGGAACTATCCACACCATTTAAATGATTCACAATTTGGTTTGGTATCAATGGGATAGTACGTAAAAAGGTTATATGTTCCGCTTCATGATGTTGGGTATTTTGCATAAAGATTTTATTAAATTCATCATGTGACATAACTAATAGTTCGACGGATGTTTTACATATAATAGTTGCACTACGTTTACCACCATAAATTAAAGCTAATTCCTGTATATAAAATGAATAAGAAGAATAAGAATAACAACAGTAAGAGAAAAAGAAAAAAAGAAACTCAGTTTTGCAGAGTTAAAGTTAGACCATTATGGAACATTTGGATGCATTGGACAGCTAGTCTAAGGGGTTAGGGGTTTGCATGCAAGACTGATAACTTTTGGGTTCGAATCTCGCAAGGGAACAGGATCATGGATGTGTACTGCTGAAAAGTCCTACAATAGGATGAAACAGCTGTCTAGTGTCCGAAGGTTTTCTATAGTGATCTAGCTTCCATTGACTTATGATTTCAATTATGAAAATTACTATCATATCCATAACATCCTTCTGATTTAATTTATAAGTTGTTTTTATTATGAAATATTTTCAGTTGTGTTTTTAGTGAAAGACTATTCAATAGTACATAATGATGATATTGTAAAACAGATCAAACTTGATACTTTATGGCTTTGGTGTTGATGTAGTGAATGAGAACACCAGTGGGGACAACCGAACATCTTAGTGAAATCTGAGAACTTCCCAGTAAATACTTTATTTACAAAATGTTGATTGATTGTGATTAGATGGTGGTTGGAGGTAGTCGACAGGAAACCCTGGACCCGGGTGTTGTGCTACTTGGCCCTCGTCAGCAAGGTATACATGTAAACCCGGGTCCAGGGTTTCCTGTCGACTACCTCCAACCACCATCTAATCTCAATATATAGTGCCCGCAATGTCGAGTCACCTAGACGGTGGCCGCATTGCAACATGGTCGATAGCATTCGATCTGCACTAATAAGGACTAGACACGCATGACATTGATCACCACCCAGTGATCAATCAATTGTGGTTCATTGATTATTTCAGACTTCATTGTTCCTGGATTTTCATAGCAATTACTTTCTGTTCCCGTTTTGTTTTTGCTCCTTGATCTTCTCGACCTTCTCCTGCTAGACATTCTATTCCTGACCAGCGTTATATACTACTTATTTTAACATAAGTAGCACACACCATATTAGTACTTAAACTTTAGATTATTAGATTGTAATCTAATACTTTAACCTTAATTAATTCTCAATATCATCTCAGTGATCATAACCGATGGTTGTCTCATTCTCTACATGTATGAACTTTATCATGGTTTCTGTACATACCTTTCAGTTTAAGTTAATAAATGATGAACATCGCCTAGAAATGTAAAAAGAAGTCGGCTATGTGGTGGCTTTTCAGATGATATAAAGACGATTAAACGTAAAGCGACAATACAGCTGAATTGTTCAAACATTAAGCATTTCAAAGGATGGTATTGAATAAATGATAACATGGATAGGATAAATACAATACAGCAAATCAGGAATATATTTCAGAGGATAAGATTGATATACTTTCAGTTGTATTCACTAAGTTTTATCGTATTATATACATACATATGTAGAATATCTCCTCCTGGAGACAAAGGAGAAGAGGAATACCGAAGAACACATTACGTCAGGAAATGGAGATAGAAATGAGAAGGATGAACAAGAATTGGATAGAACTAGAAAAGAAGGCCCAGGAATGAGTGGGTTGGAGAATGCTGGTCAGTGGCCTATGGTCCATGGGAAGTAACAGGTGTAAGTAAGTAAGTAATATGTAGAATACTTACTCCAAAACTTTGTCCAGCTTTTAAAAAAGCTACAGTCTCTTCATAAGGTTCTCCTGTTTGTTTATCTTTTCTTGACACACTAACAACCACTGAAAGTTAGAAACAGTAAACGAAAATATATGAAATATTAAATGATAAAGATTGAAGGAAAAGCTTTGTAGATGTCAACTGAAGAATTACTGTTATATGTGGATAACACTAGAAAACTATTCCGTAAAGTGTACCCATCTAGATTGGGCAATGACATTTCAAAATAAATAGCTTTGTAAGCATTCAATATTGATGTTGACCTTGTTGGTTTCAATGAACATGACTAACTGGAGATATTTCGTCAGTCATCATCAACCTATTACGGTATAACTAAACTTGATATATTTTTCTTCCTCCAGATCATCAATCTAAAGTCCCACCTTTCACTCTCTGTACTTAACTCCAAGTATAATATTCCTTTTGACCATTATCACCCTTTTTCTTTAGTTCTAGAGTAACATTTATAAGGTAACCAGATTATTGCTAGAAAGAATGCGGCACCATTCATGTTTCACGATCAAAATGATACTCTGAGAATAAAGGTTCGTCCCATCAGCAATAAGACTCTAATTACCGAGACGATTATACTCAAACGGTAACAGTTTGTCGTTAGTACTTCTAATCACTGGTCAGTATACTATATATAATAAGGAAAGAAATTTATAAGGTTATGTTGTAGTGAACAAGAACATAAGTGGGAACAATCGCATTTACCTTAACACAAACTTACAGAACGTCTTAGTCAAGTCTGAGAACCATACAGCAGAAAATACTTCATTTACAAAATGTCAATCAGACATCATTGTTCCTGCATTTCCATACTAACTGTTTTCTGTTCCCGTTTTTTTCTCCTCGATCTCGACATTCTATTCCTCACTAGCCTTATATAATACTACTTATGTCGACATAAGTAGCACACAACACAATATGATCTCTATACAGCATAATTTTTATGGTTACAATACGGAATTAACCTTGATCAATTCTATATATGATCTTAACATTTTTATATCCATTAGATAACCTTTATAGTAAATGAATTTGGCAATGTCAAGTCACTTAGACTAATGATCACATTACAATTGGATCAATAAGATTCAATTTAGCACTAAGATGGATCTGACACACATGATATTTGATCACCAACCAGTGATCAATCAATTGTGATCAATTTGATTCACAAACGTATGTCAAAGTTTGTATTTCAAAGGTTGTACCCATATTTGTGTTTTACACCATAAAGTTAACCTTATTTCAACAGAACTATTTATTCAGGTCATATAGTTATTTAACAAATAAAAATCCTCTGAGTTGTTCATCATCTTTTCATGAAAACTAAGCAACTGATCTCCTGTAGGACTGGGATGTACTTGCTGACAAGTGCCAAGTAGTATGAAACCTGGGTTCAGGGATAAAAGAATTAGTTATTACAACTGATAACTATTAATTAATTTGTCAATGATCCAGATCCTGGGTATGATGTTTGATCATATATTTCATAAAACTTACCAGAACCTGAAATGATGAAGTAGAAATTTAATGGTGGTTGGCCTTGTCGAATTATCATTCGTCTAGCTTCATATCTGGAAGAAAAATTAATTCATGGATATTTGTTTTTGTAAATTGATGCTTAACCAAGTAAATACATTTTTAATAATTGAATTCATGAGTCAATTGAAGCTAGACCACCATGGAAAACCTGAATGGCCGTTTCGTCCTATTGTTGGACTCCGCAGCAGTGCTCATCTACGATCCCGTCACGCGAGATTCGAATCTGGGGTCTATCAGTCACGCGCGCGAACGCTTAATCTTTAGACCACTGAACCGGCATCCAACGGTGTTTATATCTAACTTCAACCAATCCACGAAATTGCACCACCGTCCACCATTGTCTTAAGTGAGTTACTATCTCACAATAGACCCAGTTGAACTCCACTAGTCACTACTTCTTACTTATGTTGACGGATATGAGTAGTGTGAGGCCAGTGAAATACCACTGAGCCCTAGCCAATTCATCCGGCAGTTGGGTCACTGAATATTGAACAGATCTTCGATCCCCGTCTAGGTCAAGGACAACCAACGCGCACCAGTTAATCGTACGCCATGGACTGGCGCATGCGGTGGTGGTCATACTTTCGCTTGTACTTATTTTCACTAATATATTTCTGTCATAACGTTCTTTGTGTTCTGTGGCCTTCAAAGCAGCCATAGAACCTTGATATGTCGGAAGGGTAATCGAAGTTAGGTGCTAACCGCGAGGTGTGACTTCAACGTTAGCTTGTTCGTCACACCATTCCTGTCTAACTCGAGTAGTCTCCCAATCATTCGACACAGACCATCTACGTTAGTGATCTACAGTAGTGTGCAACATCCATCGAAAGTGGAATGCCTAGCAGCAGAATGTTGAGAAAATTGAATAGAAAAGAGCGGTAATAAAGAGTGACTAGTATGGAAATGAAGCACAAGAAAGTCTGAAACAATTGATAGATATTTTGCAAATAAAATACTGAACGCACGATATTCAAATTTTACCAAATAACTCCGTAACTCCACCTTGAGGTCCCTCTGGTTGTATTCTCACCCAACACACTACGGCAGTCGTTAATAAAATACATAAAATAGTGTGACCAGATGATGACTGTCCGAGTCTCAATTGAGAACATAAATTTCTTCTGGGTTTAAGGGATATATTTTATCAGTATAGGGTTGTAGAGATTCTTGAGTTGAATAAAAAAACTAAATACGGAAGGTAAATGAAGGATAATTTCACAGATTCCATCAACCATCAAAGATATATTGATGAAACCGGTAGAATTACAGCTTCACTGGTAACGTTATGACCTGTCTTATTTGTTATCACTGTATAACTAACACATTTACGTAATATCTTATACAAGGACTAAATCGACAGTGGTTACGGATATCAGTCACAACCTAGTAACCAACCGGAGTAAATACCTCAGACTTACGAGAGGTTGACTGAGACCTGGATAGCTCAATGGTTTAGTCCCTGATTATCATATTAAGTGACATGTGTTCGAACCCTAGGGAGGTCATCAATTTCCTAAAGATTATAGATAAATCAAACCTGTCAGTCTTAATCGATGAGAAAACTTCGACCGACCGGATCCTCCTGTTGACTGATTCCAGCCAACAACTATTCAATCAGTTGTATAATTAAAGGCAAACACTAAAGCTTGTTCAAATGTACTTGGTGTTGTTTTGCTTGTATCTTCCCATTATTATTTAGGACTGCAATTGATCAGTCTCTTATCGGCATATGTGCATACTGTGCGGATCGCCATGATATAGCCTTATGACACAAGGTTTTTACGTAAAGATGCATGGTAGCTAACAGTAGAGTTCAGGATGCGCGTTTCGTCCTATTTGGGACTAGTCAGCTGGATGTACCTGCATTCCAAAGTTGATTTTCACTCCGGGACTCGAACCCAGTACCCATCGCTTCAAACGCCGTCACGTTCTCCACTTACAGCTTGTTCATTTTAATTTTCCCCAATGATTAGTAACATGATAATTGTTATATTTAAGAAATTAATGATTAACTTACTTTTCATACCATGCTTTTTCTATAATTGCTTTTTGCATAGCAATTGGGAATTCACTGAATGCTTCTGTTGTTGCAATAACAGATACAGTGGCTGAATGAATCATTGATTCTGTACGATATTTACTTGGTAAAGTGAGTATTTTCACTGCATCATATGTGAGATATTTTTCACGATTGATCTATTGTTTAAAAGAAGTAAATGAAGTGATACAATAGAATGATACGATGTGACTTATAACGAAGAAAAAGGGGATCATCATGAATGGAATCCAGTGTTATGAACCTATGGAAACAATAAGGATCAGTTTTATGAGAGGTTGCAGTTGATCATAGAGAAGTGCTCATGAATGAAAGGACTTGGTCAACCTAATGAGAGAACTAAACGTCAAAGTCGGAATGGGACGATATGGACTAGGAGAAAGGAACGAGAATGGAGATAGGTTAGCAAATTTATGTGCCTTCGAAAAATTAGTTATAAGCAGCACAATATTTCTCCAAAAACAAACACAAAAAAACTATATGGATCTCACCAGATCCACTACTGCGAACTAGATCGATCGTATTTACATCACTGAAAAATTCAGAAGGTCAGTGGAAGACTTGAGAACCAGGATAGGAACTAACATACCTTCAGATTATCACCTGTTTGTAGCCGAGATGAAACTAAAGCTAAAAAAGCATTGGATAGCTGGACAAACAGCATTACAAAGGTCCAATACAGACATCCTTCAACATAATGACAAACTTAGCGAATCCAAGATAGCTTTCACTAACAGGCTCCAAGTCTTACAAGATCTGTTTAAAGAAGAAGAAACTACTATGAAGAACAATTGGGAAGGTGATAAAGAAGCATTAACTACAACGTGTCAGGAGGTTCTGGACCGCAACAAGCATCATCATAATGAATGGATCTCTATCGAGATCCAAGTAAAGATTCAAGAAAGGAAGAACAAGAAGAAAGCAATTAATAAGCAATTAATTAACAAGAGCAGAGAAAATCAAGGTAAAAGATAAATACACAAAATCAAACAAGCAAATGAAGAAGAGCATCAAAGCCGACAGGCGGAAATACGTGGAAGAACTAGCAACGACGGCGAAAAAAGCCGCAAGAGAAGGAAATATGAAACAACTATATAACATAGCGAAGAAACTGGAAGGGAACTGTAGTAAACCAGATAGATCAGTTAAGAACAAAGAGGGCAAACCAATCACTGAGATTCAAGGACAGAACAAATGGGTGGAACAATTTGAGGAGCTCCTGAATAGACCAGCTCCATTAAATCCAACGAATGTCGAAGCAGCACACACAGGTCTTCCTATAAATGTTACCCCACCAACGACATGAAAATAAGCCAGCCGAAACGCACAAGTCAGATAAAGAAGTAACTGCAAATATGCTTCACATTCGATTCAGGAAGATTTGGGAGGAAGAACAAAATCCGACAGATTGGAATGAAGGGCACATCATCAACATGCTAAAAAAAGTAGATCTAAACAAATGTAACGACTGCAGAGGAATCACACTACTGTCAGCACCAGGAAAAGTTTTCCGCACAGTGTTGTTGAACGAATGAGAGATACAGGAGACGTCCAGATTCCAGATCAACAGGCTGGATTCCGTAAGAATCGGTCGTGCACAGACCAAATCTTCCATCAATCAGTCGAATGGAACTCCTCACTATATATCAACTTCATTTATTATGAGAAAGCATTTGACAGTGTGGATAGGAGAATATTATGAAACTCACTTCGAAACTGTGGTGTACCTGAGGAAATCACTAACATCATACGAATCCATACGACGGACTATACTGTAAAGTGGCGCATGGAGGACAGCTGAAAGAGGCATTCCAAGTGAAGACTGGAGTCGGACAAGGCTGATTACCCTCCCACTTGCTCTTTCTCCTGATGGTTGATTGGATTATAAAGACCTCGACATCTGGAAGGAAGCACGGAATACAACGGACGGGTTGGATGTAACTAGATGATTTAGACCTTGCAGATAACCTAGCTGTTCTATCCCATACACACGAACAAATGTAGGCCAAGACAATGTGGCAGCAGTCTCTGCAACAGTAGGTTTCAATGTATACAAGGGCAAAACAAAGACCCTCAAATGCAATACAGAGAACACCAGCTTGGTCACACTTGTTAGAGGAGCTCTGGAAGAGGTGGAAACTTTCATTAATCTGGGTAGCGTCATCGATGAACAAGGAGGATCTGATGCAGACGTAAAGGCGAGGATCGGTAAAGCAAGGGCTGCATTCCTATATTTGAAGAATATGTGGAACTCAAAACAACTCTCAAGCAATATCAAAGTCAGAATCTTCAATACGAACGTCAAGACATTTCCACTGTACGGAGCTGAAACTTCGATAACTACTACAAACATCATCAAAAATGTACAAGTATTTATAAACAGTTGTCTACATAAGATACTCAATGCCCGTTGGTCGGATACCATTCGCAATATCCTACTGTGTGAGAGAACAAACCAGCTTCCAGCTGAAGAGGAAATTGGCAAAAGACGTTGAAGGTGGATAGGACATACATTACGGAAATCAAACTGCATCACGAGGCAAGCCCTAACCTGGAATTCTGAAGGGAAACATGCATAGCAACTGGAAAGGAATGCCCAGGAGAGAGGATTGGATGGGGAGTGCTGGTGGAAAGTCTATGCACCTCTATGAGAGGAAACAAGCGTAAGTAAGTAAGTAAGTATGATTCACTACACCTATACCAAGCAGAATTTTATTCATCAGATTATAATGAAGTAATAATAACCATTCGATCCAATTCTACTAAACATAATCAATCTCTAACTGATAAAACAAACGATGAAAACCATTCAAAGAAAATTATTTTTGATTGAGATCATGAACCGAATGATGTTAGACCACCATTGAAAACCTGAAAGCACTGGACGGCCGTATCGTCCTATTGTGGGACTCATCAGCAGTGTGCATCTATCTCAATCAAAAACTTAACAATCTCCACAACGCCTAAACTGATAAAGAAAATTATATTTATTTTGTGGAAATCCCATGAGACTATAACCAAAACGTTTAAATGCCTATTTAAGTGACATATATCTATCAAATCAATGGAGAGATTTAGGCATATCAGTCTATCATTAAGATGAATTCCCAGCATTATATGATGATAAACAATTATCCATTGATTATGCTCAATAGATTCTTAACTCTAAACCATGTGAAGTTTGTATTAATTGCAATTGCAAAATTCTAAAGACTAAAAGGTGAGGAATATTGTATACTAATTGTTATAATTTGTCGTTTGAATGCTTATTGTCTTGGATCTTTTAGTGCTACTTTTGGGGTTTCCCCTCATGGATTCGAATCCCATCCCCGTCGCCACTGATGAGTCTTGTTAATTCGAACGCTTTATTCGGTTCCTAAGCTATTCTGTAACCCCCAAAGCTAGGACTATACAGCGACCTGAACAACGAGAGAGAAGAGGCAAAGTATGCGAGAAGTACTTCACTCCACGGTTTTTTTTTGTACAGAAAAACACAGGTATTTATAGATGTTAACATTTGTTAAACCAACATCATATTTTGTCCAATCCGCTAAAAGACATATTATGCTAGTGACCAATAATAGGACACCATGTTGGTATTCTAGAAAGCTCCATCATACTCTGATTGGCTAGGACTCTTCGGCTCCTTTAGCGCCTCTGGAGGCTCCATTGCAGTTCTCGGAAAGCCGACTCAACACTAATTAATGATGGAATTATTCCAAGTGATTATTATGTACTTGAATCATAAATTGATTGGTATGATTTAAATCCGAATGATTGTATTATTAAAATGAAACCATGTATTAATGAATATTGTTTAAGAAATGAAGATATTTTTGCACGAAATCCAAAAACAATCAATATAGAATTGCATTGATTTGGTTACCAGGACTACAATATGTGGCAAGATCATAATTAATGAACAAACCAATCATGTATAAGATAACAGATCTCGGATTTTCGGCACAAAACTCACTCATTCATTTGGCTCAATAGAGCTTTAGCATTATAGATAATGTCAGTTCACGATGAAAACCCTTAAATCTAATTCCTAACATTAACCCATCAACTGTAAATCATACTTGTAATTCTTTACACTGGTTTATAACCCTCATTTAGTCTTAGTTACTAGGTGAACACTCTCGAGGTTACTTTAGCGTCTCCCAAAGATCGTCCATAAATTATAGTCTCACCCAATATGTTATAGGATAATTATTTAATATGAAATTAATTACGGAATGAGGTCATTAAAAATGTAAATGTCCAGTAGGATGGGATTTAGCAAACTCTTTTGGCAATATATCTTTATATCTACATGATTGAGATGTTGATATGGTTGTATAGTGTTTATATAAATATTTTAATGGTAGTCCCAGTGTTATGAAATTATTGTTTATTCATGAAAAACATCACCATCAATAAACAAGTTATGGATCGAAATTTAATGAATCCAACAATATTATTAGTAGTAATAATACAATAATTACTGATATATCTGGTCCTCAACTAACCAGTTGATGAAGGCATAGAAGCAAAACGCGATTCAGTATGGCTGAACATATGGAATTTGTTGTAACTTTAAACTGGTCAAATATCACATAACTTATTCGTCAATCGGGATACGATTTATGCAATCTTAGCACTGTGTCAAACCAAAAATGTTCGGCCAGTATAAGCAGCATAGTGTCCTTGTTGATCCTTTGTCCTCCTAGCGTCCTGCCAGTTGAGTTAGACATTAACACCGTTGAATACCAACTCATTAGTCTAGAGGTTAAGCACTAGAGCGAGAGAACCGGTAGGTCCTGGGTTCGAATCTCGCTGGGCGGGATCGTGGATGCGCACTGCTGTGGAATCCCACAATAGGACGAAACGGCCGTCCAGTGTTTTTAGTTTTTTCATGGTGGTCTAGCTTTATTTGACTCATAATCTTAACTATTAAAACATACAATTTGTTAATCATTGAGTGACGATTAATATTATACTTGTCTAGTCCATTAGTAATTATCGGGAAAGGTGCGACTTTGCCCCCAGTTCGGATGATGTGAATAACATTAAACTCACGGCGATTTTTGTGTATCTTTAATTGATTATTTTTCATCCTATTTCTAAGTTTTTTTTTCATTCTGTTTCATAACGTAAG